GGCGGAATCGGAGCTGGTGAAGGCGGAATCGTCTCCTTAAAAACTGATACAACTTAATCTGAATCCTTAGAGCCCTGCCTATGTTCGCGTTCTCAAAGAGGCCAAAGGAAGTTTTGTTTTGGGATTTGAGCTTTTGAATGAAATGCAACGTTGTGGAATGGATACTATTGATCTTGAGGAGAGGCTCAAGGATAAGGATCCATTGTTTTGTATGGAAGTTCGAGATGTGCTTCCGATCACTTTGAGGAAGCCTGTTGAGGTGAGAACCTTGTGGACGATATGAAAACCGGACACTGGCAAAATGTTCACCGTAGTAACAATATTATTTTGTCAGATGAGAATTTTTGACACCTCTTACGAGAATCGAGAAACCTTAAACACTCTATTAGGAAGTCACCTTCTATTAGAGTGTTTACAGGGAAAGTTTGGTGATAAAATTTCCCATAATTTTCAGCTCATCGTCACCGATATCACCAAAGCGCTGAAAACACCCATCTACATACCAGCACCTGGCGGAAGCTACTGTATCCATGCTCTCGACATTGTTCAATATTTGGTTGTCTGGGTCCACACGAAGGGATACTTTCAAAACGCATCCGACGAGACTAGAGACAAATTGATTGAAGCGTTTGAATGTGTGAAAAAGATTTTGGACAATGTTAAGGTTTGTGTTTTGGATTTTCGGTAGTGCTGGACTGTACATAGTAAGGTTCACTGCCTTTTTGGTGTCCCTATAAAAAGGTCCGTCGTTGGTCCGTCGTTGGTCCGTCGTTGGTCCGTTGTTGGTCCGTCGTTGGTCCGTCGTTGGTCCGCTGTTAGTCCGTTGGTGGTCCATTGAAATCGGAACTAGTGGAGGTGAAATCGGGGCTGGTGGAGGTGGAATCGGAGCTGCTGAATATGGAATAGGTGCTGTTGAAGGCGGAATCGTATTCGGTGGAGGAGGAATCGTATTCGGTGGAGGTGGAGTCGGAGCTGGCGGAAGTGGAATCGGAGCTGGTGGAGGTGAAATCGGAGCTGGTAGAAGTGGAATCGGAGCTGCTGGCGATAGAATCGGAGCTGGTGGAGGTGGAATCGGTGCTGGTGGAGGTGAAATCGGAACTAGTGGAGGTGAAATCGGGGCTGGTGGAGGTGGAATCGGAGCTGGTGGAGGTGGAATCAGAGCTGGTGATGGTGGAATCGGAGCTGCTGGCGATAGAATCGGAGCTGGTGGAGGTGGAATCGGTGCTGGTGGAGGTGAAATCGGAGCTGCTGGCGATAGAATCGGAGCTGGTGGAGGTGGAATCGGTGCTGGTGGAGGTGAAATCGGAACTAGTGGAGGTGAAATCGGAGCTGGTGGAGGTGGAATCGGAGCTGGTAGAAGTGGAATCGGAGCTGCTGGCGATAGAATCGGAGCTGGTGGAGGTGGAATCGGAGCTGCTGGATATGGACTAGATGCTGTTGAAGGCGGAATCGTATTCGGTGGAGGTGGAGTCGGAGCTGGTGGAGGTGGAATCGGAGCTGGCGGAGGTGGAATCAGAGCTGGTGATGGTGGAATCGGAGCTGCTGGCGATAGAATCGGAGCTGGTGGAGGTGGAATCGGTGCTGGTGGAGGTGAAATCGGAACTAGTGGAGGTGAAATCGGGGCTGGTGGAGGTGGAATCGGAGCTGGAGGAGGTGAAATCAGAGCTGGTGATGGTGGAATCGGAGCTGCTGGCGATAGAATCGGAGCTGGTGGAGGTGGAAT